CACCTATTTTTTGTATTTTTTCTTCTGTATAGCAAGGATCAACCTCTCCGTTAACTTTAAATAGCAATTTCAGCATACTAGAGAAGCACAATATTAAGGCGGCTTACCAGCTATATTGGTTTCTGGATTCAAGTGGAGGTAAACAGCTGACCAAACGCAAACAAATATTTTGAGCCCCCCGGAGCTTTAAAGGGTTATTCCACTTTCCCAGGCGAATTTGGGAAAATGGAATGACCTCCTCCAAGTTGGCCCCCTACCCCCTTGCTGTACTTAACTTTGGCCGAATGCTTCTTCCCCATCTCCAGTGTATTACACGTACTCTGTACACAGCAGCGCACTCATTGGTCAGCGCAGTCATCTGAGCAAGAAGTGCTTCTCATTGGGCAGTGCTGTAAGGTGACCACGCTGCGCAATAAGTGCTCACCATTTGCAAACAAAATTTAAAATACAGAGTGCAAGGTGCGCTACTGTGTACAGAGTACAGGTAGTACACCAGCACCGGCCGAGGGGAAAAAGCGTTTGACCAAAGGTAAGTACAGCAGGACAGGATTTTTCCAAATTCGCCTGGGAAAGTGGAATTATGGTTTAAGCCATAATCTACTAGCATGCACAACATATTAGCGCATTATGGCAAACTTATTTACCAAAGCAATCCCATCCAGTGCTGCGATGTCAGTGCTCCCCTCTGTTGCTCATTCCAGGTTTGAAGACTTTGGCTGCATTATTGGCAAGGTCTGAATGACGGAACTCCCGCGCATGTGCACAGTAGTAACTTTGTCCTGGCACAGAATCAAGCCAAGACCGTATACTGAGCTCAGTGTATCTTACAAAATAAGTGCTGACACATCTGAGACAAAAGAGACTTACACAATTTCTGTCATAAATAAGGCCTACCTGTCAGACCCTTTACTTTCAAAGGAGGTAACAGAAAACAAATGACACATTCCTGTCAGACTGATTCAGTAAGTCAACCAACAGTAAGAGATATATACATGCTTGGGATAAACATCGGACTATCCTCAGACAAAAATCCTAAAAAAAAAAAAATAACAACCCTCACACCCACATTAAAAAAAACAAAAACGTGCAGACTAAATGGACCACTGGGTCTTTTTTTTGCAATCCCCCTGTTTTCATAGCAATTCAGTTTGTATACAAAAAACACATCCAGGTCCTGCTTCCTGCTCAATGTATATTACCCAATTGCATATTACTGTCTAACAATTGTGTGCAATCTTGCATTTCTTTAAAAAAATTCCTTTTTTCCCAAGCTTAGCTGACAATATGCAGACCTGACAAAAGTACGTGTTGTTTTCACATGTTAATACACTACGGGGCGCCCGGCTCTAAATCTACAGACTTGTGTTTATAGTGCACTGAGAATTTGAGACACCCACCAGCTGTTACCACACTGCAGTCCTTCCCTCCATTACAGGAGCCTTTCAAATCACAAAAGCTTTTATGTGGCCAAAACAGCAAATTAATACGTAAGCGGCACAACCACGTTTTAATAATTTAGCGCTATTTGCAGGCCATTATTCAAAGAAGTGTTTTCATTTGAGACAGACTATGAGATGTTGTCGAAAATACAACATGAATGATATGTTGTGGGAAAATGTCACATTGGACGTGATCCGAGAAAGTGTAGGTATATAAAATGCATGCTATGGCTTACCATGGACGGGGCATTGATCCAACGGACCTCTATGGTATTAACATCCCTTGCCACGCAGGTAACCTGAAACGGCTCCCCGGTCTTGACAAGTAGCTTGGATTTTGTTAAAGTAATTGAGGGTACTTGTTTTTGAACTGGAAAAAGAAAAAAACATTAGCCATTACCAGCATTATCAGGGTAGAACATTCCATCAGAGAGAAGCAATTTGACTGGAAATTGATATTTGTTACAGATAACAGAGAAAAGCTTATTTTTTTTAGTTCAAAATAAGATATTTTTGTAGCAACCACAAGTTTATTTTTTATTGTAATCTGTGCCATATTGTCTGCAAAATAAAGCAAAGGTTAATGGAAACCTGCAGTTAGAAATACAGGGACTGCCACTACTGATATCCTAAAGCTGGCCATACACTGCAGGCTGGAGGAAAGAAATCTTACAGATTCCTCCATCCATGCTAAACAGCTTGGATAGACAAAGCGGTTGTCAGAATACTCCAACATTGACTGAGCTGATTGGCTGCAGCCATTGATCAGTAGGCAAGTTTATGCCTGGCTGCTTCAACAAAAGTCGACTGAATGATCTACTTTCTGAGCACCTTCACAGTGACCTGTCCTTATAGAAAGACTAAGGACAAGACTGTGTGTAATGCATTTCTCTCATTAACATACAATGCAGAAGCCAGGGTTGTAATCCTTTAACCCTTTGTTAGAACACTGTTCAAATCTACTATACAAAATTATAATGAATTTAGCCAGCACAGTACAGATAGTCAACACAAACCCCACACAGTTTATATTTAGCTTATGCTATGTGAATGGGAACATGTAACAAATATAAAATAGGTGTTATCCCAATGTGGCTGCAAAAGTGCAAATACACAAGTCTAGTTGCCTGGCTGTCTCTTGGAGTCACTGACCTGACACAAATATGCAGATTAGAAAGTCAAAACTCTTGATTGCTGTAATTGCTCCAGGTCATTAAAAGTACTGAAGGCATTGAAACAGCATGACAGCCAAAGAACTAGTATTTTCAGAAGACGAGATCAACAATGACGGCTTAAATATGTACTTCAGATCGGTCATTCCCTCGGCTGCCCTCGGCAGCTTTGTGAATAGACCCCTATGGGTTTCCTTTAAGAGTGTAGGTTAGGAGCCACTAAGGGATGTTCTGTTGGAATATCCCTTCCCATGCAGATAGTATAATAAGCATCCTATCAACACTTTAAAACAGGACCAAGGTTTGTAAACCCTTTGGAATAATTCCAAGCATGTTTTGGACCTTCGGACAGATAAATAGGAACAAATTTATTGATGCAGGGGACTTTATTATTTTCTTAAAAATAGCCCCATTTGAGGCTAAGATCTTAAATCCCTGACTTTTTAGACAGCAATGACTGGAAAGCACAGATTTCACACAGACATTGGGACTTATTTACTAAAGGAATATAGACGGTTCACTTAGCAAAGTGAATTCTCACTTTGAATATCCAATCGTGTACATGGTAAACATTCACTTTGCAAAGCGACCATACACTTTATACAGTGAACAGTCACTCATAATGGCGTAAATCAACCCCATTATGTTTTCACGGCTATGGCTAAGGACAAGACTGAAACATGCATGCCATTCGGTTTCTGCTATCATTAACGTTGGTGTTTAGAGGATCTTGGTGGGTGTGCTGTCAATTTGCTATAATGAAGAAGTATCTGGGTCACACAAGCTGTACACCTCCCATTCCATGATCTTTGGTTCTAGGATTCGTGGCAAATGCCATAGCTGTCAGCCTGGATTTCTCCAGGCTGCAACTATGAACCACGTTTAAATAGCCTAACCTGGCTGGATCTATGTTCACATTGTATTTAAATCAGAGAATAAACAATTGCCCAATTTCTACATTTACTATTTGTATTTTATCTTATTCCATAACACAAGGAAATTGCTTTAAAACACAGGCAAAAGGAGACATGTTTTGTTCACATGATTGCCTGGAAAGATAACTTGGTCTCCATATGCCTATTACTAGAGAGAAGAGACTGCTCTATACTCCTGGGAAGAATTTAGGATCATTAGTAGCTGGGGTCACGTGTTAATGGGTAAGACAGTGCTACAGCTCGAGTACAGCATCATGACTTCATTTAGTCAACTGTAAGAAAAGTCATTTTTGCTGGCGGCTTGGGATTAGAGACACTTATTACATTTCCAAGCATATTACCTACCACGTTCATTGATATCTACTAAATAACAAAAATTGAACAGAAAAGGAACACAATGAAGAGGGACATATAGACCTTTAACGAACCATAAATAAATATGATTTAACATTTACATTTCAATCCACCCTGAAATGTGACTTTGATTTTAAAAAGTTACATTTTTGCTCTAGCTATCTTTTTGGAATAGCTGCACCTTCTCAAGATAAGGATAACCTAATAGGCTGCTATAGGCAACAATGACACCACAAAGTACATTAGCATGAGGTTTCAGAGCTCCATGGTACAAATACAGCAATTAGCTTTATCAGAAGACTGGAGGTGCTGTATTCCTCCAGTAAGCCAGGTGCCTGAGCAATGGAATGGTATGATAGAAATATCTCTTGCTCTTCCTATTCTTAACATAGTTCCCTTATTATCTCTTCCTGTTTACTGGAGCACAAGCCTGGTGGCTGAAAGCAACCTGTCAACATAGCCCTTTAATTTTCTTGCCTTTACTAAAATCTAAAAAGGGTAAAGCTGTGTGCCTCCTATAGGAAACAGAGAGGACTCTTTATTTAGACATTTCAATCTTGATTTGATATTGGGCTTATTCAACAGGGCAGTCCAAACTCCAAAGCTGATCTACCAATGTGGTCCTTGAAAACTGCATGTTTCATCCTTGATGTATCAGGGGATATCTTTAATTCTCAAAAGGTGGACATTTTGTTTAGCATATGAAAGGTATAAAAACAATCATCTAATCTTCATATGTGTGGGCAGATATGACAAACTCATCTGTTCTACTCACCCGGTATGACCATCAGTTTCACGTTGCTGGTATTCTTCAATATGCCATTATGTTTTACCGTGCAGACATAGCAACCATTAAAATCAATCTGCACATTTTTTATGGTGATGCCATTCCCATCACCCTTCTCATAGACAAAGCCTTTAGGTAGGCTAGAATGATCGCACTTTCTAATAGCATATTCAGTGACATTCGAATCAGCCAGAGGACAGAAACCAGAGGCATCCTGGCCCTCTATTACATCAAAGAATTTTGGAATTTCGTAGAATGGATTGTCAAGAACTAAAAAACAAACACATTATATTTTTTATAGCACAACCGGTATAGCAAGATATCTAGCCAAAATGTCTTCATCAAATGGAACTATAGGCACATTTATAAGAACTTAAAAACTGTATTTTGATGATAAACAAATGCACACATATAGTCCTTATGCAAAATGGAGGAGTTATTTCAGTAACCGTAAAACAATTAGGCCTCATTCACACGGGCAGTGACATACATGCATAAAATGATTTTAAATGATACAATTCACACCATGTGTTTTCCTGCATTTAATGCATTCAATTAGCTGCGTTTAGAGAAAAAGGAATTCTGTTTGTCCGGGTACAGATTAGGTACTCTGAACACGTCTAATGCATGTGAACACAAGTACATTTAAATGCAGAAAAATGTGATTTGGGAAGAATTCATTTTGTTTATACTTCCCATATTTTCGTATGCATTTAAATAAGCCAGGCTAGTTTGACAGTAGCCTGAGCCTAGTCCAGGTGAGTCTATACTATGATATCCTTAATAATTTTGTCACCTGTTCATAAAATGGTTATAACATATATGTAACATACCATACATGACTCCATCCATTTAGGCAGAACAAGGATATCTGATGGCACACCAGCATCTAAAATATCTTGAAATTTAACAAGGATACAAAATGACTGTGTGTGGCCATATGTATAGGCAAGTCTGCTTAAAGAATATCTTAACACAGGAAGAAACATGTCATATATTGCAGCTTACTGGTTCTTAGATGTGGTGGCTGTGTCAGTTTTCATTTTTCAAGAACATTTTTAGCACACACCATGTTATCTTCCTTCTATAAACTAATAACCCCTTCCCTCCCTATGCTCTGTGTAATGGAGATTAAGAGAGGAAGACATGTTTGAAGTGCATCCTGGATGACAACCATGGCTTTCTACTAGGGATGTCACGATACTGGTACTAGCATCGGTCTCGGGACCGATACAGGGCATTTTGCCCCGATACATAGCGCCGAAGCTTGCGCTATTTTTTATTTTTTTCCCCCCTTACCTTCAGGCTGCTGTTCGGGAGAGCAGCGGCGAGTCAGCGCTGGCCTGGTGGGAGGAGCTCCAAATGGAGTCCTAATTTAGCTGGCAGGCGACCGGGCAGTCGCAGGCCAGCTAAATTAGGACCCCACCTGGAGCTCCTCCCACCGGACCAGTGCTGACTCGCCGCTGCTCTCCCGCACAGCGCCGACTATGACCTCACCAGTGAGGCACATCGTGAGGCACCAGCCATCATCGAACAGTGAGTGAGGGCAAGGGGGGTCCCTATTAAGAAGCTATTAATATTAGCAGAGGATAATTGTAAATCTATTGTCTGCAGTGTGTGCTCTTTATGTACTACATATAGAGTACACTGCAGTTATAGATTTACAATTATCCCCTGCTAATATGAATGGATTATATGATCCATAATACATACCATGTAGTTGTATTATGGTTCATTTAACCTATTCATGTTAGCAGGGGAGAATTGTAACTCTATTACTGCAGTGTATTCTATATGTAATACATACAGTATATACAGTGCAAATTCCCAATACGCTGCAGCAATAGATTTACAATTATCCCCTGCTAATATTAATAGGTTAAATGAATCGTAGTACAAGTACATGTACATTTAACCCATCCATCTTAGCCGAGGATAATTGTAAAACTATTGCAGCAGTGTACTCTATATGTAGTACATAGTAGATGTATGTTACACACGTCCAGTACACTGCAGCAATAGATTTACAATTATCCCCTGCTAATATGAATAGGTTAAAAGATCCATAGTACATAATATGTAGTTGTACTAAGGATCATTTAACCTATTCATGTTAGCAGGGCAGAATTGTGAGCAACTCCAACAACCTGAGCACCGAGACGCGATGCAGCGATCCTGCCCAGCGCCGACTACGAGAGGCACCGCGTGAGGCAACAGGGATCGGAGTGAAACTGTGAGTGAGGGAAGCTGGGACAGGGCTGGCTGTAAATCTATTGCTATAGTGTACTGGACGTGTGTAATGTATATGTAGTACATATATACAGCACACACCTCCACTACACTCCAGCAATAGATTTGCAATTCTCTCCTGCTAACATGAATAGGTTAAATCATGATCCATAGTACATACCATGTAGTTGTACTATGGATCATTTAAAGTCACCTAACCCTTTAAAAAAAAAAAAAGTATTGATAATTGGTATCGGCAAGTACATGAGGGGAAGTACTTGTACTAGTACTTGGTCCTGAAAAAGTGGTATCGGGACATCCCTCCTTTCTACAGTCGAGTGAGAGCTTAGCAGTACATTGTCATAGCAAGCCTGCAGTCAGCAGCCATGACAAATGAGGAGAATACGTCCAAAAAAAACAATACATTACTATATATATAAACCTCAGTGTAACCAGTATCACAACATACTGCAAAGAGTTGCCACAGCCACTGCATCTACTTAAAAAAATATCTTCTTAAGCAAATTAAAATGCTAAGACATGACATTCTGATTGGTTACTGTTATTCTTTTCTGTTGCTACCCAATTAGTCTATAATAAAACACAAAAAAGCCACATAATCAATGCAATGAAAAGAAGCTTACCGTTAACAAACAGGTAAAAAGAATAGTAGATGATGCCTGTCTCTTTATTAATACATGTATACTTTCCAACATTTTTCCGGTCCACATTATTGAGGGTAAGAACCAACTGATCGCCATTTAAACGAAGCTGAATACGGCCCACCGTTCTCGGCTTCTTACTTCCTGGTTTTTGATAACTCCACTCCAGCGGTGAAGGCCCACTGCATGGTTTCTCAAAATTATCTCCAGCTCTCACAGTTTCTTCGCCATAAATATTTGGAAAAGAATCCACTACAAAAGCAAAAGAGAAAATCAGTACCTTTCCTTTAAGACAGATATTTAGATACTGGCATATCTTATAACAATCTGTTTATATAACATCTTAAAACCACTTGTGATTTTCACAATGCACAGCCAAGGCACCAAAGAGAATTGCTAAAAGGTCACTTACAAGGCACTATTCATCAAGTTCTGAACAAACATTTTTGTAAGCATTAAATTAGATTATTTTAAACAGTTTTTTCTTCACAGCTATGGCTCAGACAAGTTTGAATTCTTGTAAAAGTTTTTAGGCCATATGACATTTTAGGTTAAAACAGTTCAGATTCTATAGCTGGTCCAACTTCGACAATTCCCCGAAGGAGAACAGTGGCTAGAGCAGACTTGACGGTAATCCCTAGGATCCGAATACAATTCAGCACCTTTGTGATGAGGTCAAGGAGAAGGAAATGTAATTCCCTTTTTTAAGGAGGAAAAGAGAAAATGTTTGCAGCTGATCAGCCATTGTTCATGACTCAAGAGCAAAGAGCAGTAGGAACATCTGCTTACAAAGTTGCAATCTGGTTTGTCAACATAAGCATTTAAAGTAGAGCTCCAGACAAAATGTATGTTATAGTTTTGCAGGGAGTAAGGAAGAGTTGGATCCACTGCCAGGTTTTAATTGCTGTCTGTGTGAGAGATCCACTCTCATTATTTGTCTTGTTGACTTTTGTCATTTGGACAGGGTAAAATTGTCACCAACAGTAGAAGTGGTGCTATATTCAATTGGGATACCTGGTCCAGTGGCTAATATCAAAGTTGGTATTTTCCCTCACTTTGGGGAGATTTCCACTTACTTCCTGTCATTTCACTGGAATATGAAGTCAAGGGACTTCTCCCCAACAAGGGTACACAACCAGCGATAAAAAAAAGATCTTTTACTAAGCTAGTTTATCCAGAATATGCATTCAGGGTCAGACATCAATCCCCAATTTCACTTCCAGTCTAAATGGAGTGAAGAAGAAATGGGAGAAGCATTCTTCATGTCTTGTTACTGGTCAGGCAGGAAGTGAAGAGGTTCCTGCTGCCTAACTGCACTTAGATATTACAAATCAGGAGAATGGCAAGGGGCATCATGAAGAATGCCTTCCTTTTCTTACTCGACCTAGAAGTAAGCAGTGGCTCAGTTATGCGACAATACAAGGTGGCTATTTCAGTTGTCTACTGTTGCTGAAGAACTCACTAAAGTACTAATGATGTCAGATAGATGCCATGAGTGTCTCACTCTACCATAGATGTGCCAATGAGCCCACAGTTGCACTATATAAAGACTAAAGGGATGAGGCAATCAGATCCTCACTGGGTTCTAGCTGTCAATGCCAGTTGGTGGTTCACATTCTGGAACCCAGAGGACCTGGCCACCACGAACCATGTGTTGTTTGTAAATATCCTGCAGGACCAAGTCCACTAGACAGTTACCTACAGCAAGTAGTCAAGGTAATATTTACCAGTGTAAAAAAATATTATTGGTACATACAAATATGCACTTAATAGAAAAACAACTGAAAACAAAATATTGAAAACCAGAGCATCTAGAATACATCACAACTGACCATATATCTTAAGAATTGTGGAAAGTTTTCTTTGGTATGCACAATGTTTCTAACTGACTCTTTCATACTTTTTGCTTATCCAAGTAAAAGAAAAAATACACATGGCAGTTGGCTACAGCTAACAATAATGAGAACGCTTACTGAACCTTAAATCACAATATATGTACATTTATGTGTAATAGTTATGTAGACTGCCCGGGTAGCCTGAATAAGAATGCAAAATGTGTCTACAAGTTGTAGAGTTTCAGTAACTAGTTTGTGATAAACAGCTTCCTAATACTGAACTAGAAACTGCAGTGTGCGAAAACACCTAAAACTATGTTTTATTTCTATTACAATGGAAGTCTCATACACCTCAATAGAGACTCTACCTAGGCAGTTTTGGTTATCAGCAATTAAAATTACTTTCTAAACATTGTGTTGTAGTTTGGTTTCAAACCTCTCATCTTGCACCGAACATGCCAACAAGATCCTCTCAAAGTCAGATTTTTCCTTTCTTCTGGATGGTACATGCCAACCGCTACCACTTACAACTTGTATACGAGTCACCTCAAAACAGACAAAGCTTAGTTTTTCCACTTGAAACCCTCAAACTTCAAATATTATTTCCTACCCTCATAGACAAAACATTACTATACACAATTAATTACAATCCCGCTGACATCTGATATAAAAATCAATGGCTCCATGTAAGGTTTACATTGAGCTATTTTTCCTAGATTATTCACTTCTCCTGTCTTCTCCAGACTCTTCACCCTTTTGTGAATAGCCCTGAAAATGTTTAGTGTGTGCACACGATCTGTATGATTGGTTGGGAGGCTCCTAAATTTTTTTTAAGACTTTGCGCCTTGCGATAAAAACTTAAATACCTTGAAATTTAATGGATGAACATATTAATGTAAAATTCAAGGCCCAGTCTATTAGCAAAGAACATATGCAAACAAACAGAAAAATGGCTAATGAAAGTAACAGCTATAACCACTTGAGTCCATGGTTTGGAAATATTTATGTATACATCCCCACTATTGCATTATAGCATTCACACAAAACTAACATAAAACATGGCTGAACTAGCTAATTTACAAATGCCAGAAAAAGCCGACCATTTATCAAAACATCTCGCTATAATGCACTAATGCATAACTAGTATTGTATCAATTTACATCACAGGACAGTATTTGTGCCACACCTAGGCGGCATCGTTTTTGCGCGTTTTACACATTTTCACGCGCATTTGTATGCGGGTTTTGACTGGCAGCTTAAAAACCATTGCAGGCAATGGACAAAGGCGCAAAAATGAGCACGAAACATGTGCAACATGCCTGCATTTTCCAGTGCTTCCATTAGAGTCTATGGGGCAAAAGAGCGCTATTAACTGCCCAAAGAAGCTCATGTATCTTTTCGGGCGTTTTCCTGCTGGCGTTTTGCTGCTCTGGTGTGAACAGGGGCCATTAAAAATCATGGGATTTCTTTTGTTGGACGTTTAAAAGCGCTTTTCCAATTGCTCAAAATGGCCTAGGTGCGAACCAGGCATTCACTGCACTTTGTATTGTTACTGGAAAACTAATTTTAATTCTGAAAACGAAATACAAGAAAATAGCATGTATTCGCAGAAAGGATCCCATTGTCTGGGGTTGTAAACCTAATCTGCAATTCAACTTACTTCCTCATATAATCATCATGAAATATGATGCACAACCTTTAATGATATGAAATAAAGAAGTGGCCTAGCCCCACGCTAACATACTGAATTCAGTAGCAATAAACATATACTTTTTAAGTACCCTAAACAGTCATTCTCTCTCGATGAAATGCAAGTCTCGGAATCCTAGAAGTAAATTTCTCTCACAATAAAACACTAACCTTTTTCTCGATTGCAAAAACTGCCAGTGATTTATGAATAACTAAACATAATAAAATACAATACAGTGATTATTTTTATCCTTATATTGCTATAATTAAAATGTAAACAAAATGTTTATAACGCTAACTATGTATAGACTCCTGACTCAATTTTCAGCCATACAGGCTACAAAGGAACCAGCCACTAACAATATATATCCAACAACTATAGCAAAACCTCAGTGATGGGCCTGGATGATGAGGGTCTATGTAACAAGAGTGAGAGGCATAACTTGAAACCTTGAGGCATTTTAAATGTCACTCCAATATTTCAAGATGGAATCCAGCACCCCTTCACTTGCATAAAAGTCTCATGGTGCCAGTGGTGTATCCAGGGCATGACACATGTCATGGGCGCATTGTCGCTCTGTGAGTCAGTAAAGGTTCACCGACCCACGGAGACAGTTGACTTTTTCTCTCCCCACCCCTCTACCATACACATTTCCCTGCCTAGCTCTTAGCAACCAGATACATACTGGTCCACGTCCCACCCAGGAGCTGGGTGGGACGCTAGCCAGAGCGTCCCGGGTTGCTTAAAGCCAAGTTTATGTGGGCAGAATGCTCTGGCCAGAGTCCCACCCAGCTCTTATAGCTCTTAGCAACCAGATACATACTGGTCCACGTCCCACCCAGGAGTTGGGCAGAATACCTGCCAGAGCATCCCAGGTTGCTAAGAGCCAGGTGGGGAGATATGTAAGGGCCATAAACATCTCCCCACCCAGCTCTTAGCAACCTGGGATGCTCTGGCTATCGTCCACCCCAGCTCCTGGCAACCAGTGATGTCACTGGTGCCAGGAGCTAGGTGGGATGCAGGGGCACAATTTTTGTAGATACACCTATGCATGGAGCATTGGTGCTTTAGTTCCTCATTAATAGAGAACAATAGTGAAATCTCGACATCTCTGTACCCATGTGTGTGTGCATGTAAATGTTAATGGGACCGCCTTGAACTGAGATATACATTTAATTTACCACAACTACCCTCTGGATTCCATGCTGCCAATATGTCTATGGTAGTCAAGCTGAAGTAGTTGAGTTTTACCACCGGTGACATGACAAAGGTAGGTAAAGGTGCTCATGAAAGTCTCTATACCAGAGGTGAACAAACTAATATGGAATTCAGGAGCCAGTCTGTCCAATCCAGGAGCCTCTGGCAACAACTAGAGAAAAACCTCAAAAGTTAGGCGCCAGTTTAAATTTTTCAGGAGCATAGGTGACCTGGAATTTGTCCAGCCCTGGGCTAAAGGGTACATCAACTTCTTAAGGAAAGGGAAACACTTCATCAGACGGGGATGTGACAACTAACATTGACACCAAACAGGAGTTATACATTAGGTAATTTTTTTTTTTAGGAGCCAGCTCCATTGGCAACTAGAGAAAAGTTAGGCGCCAGCTGTAATTGGCGACCTGGATCCTGGTATTTGTCCAGCCCTGCACTAAGCCTCATGGCCATAAAATGCTTGTCCTACACTACCACCAATCAGATTTTTCCTTCCAGTTTGATTAGGTGGTAGTAAA